GACACGATCCAACCTGCCATGCATGCCCCCGACTGCTTCCTCTTGCTTGAACGATGCAACCTGTAGCTTCCTCTTGCTTGAACGACTGCCCCCACAGATACGACACGATCCAACCTGTCATGCATGCCTCCACTTCACGCTCGTGCCTGCTCTCTGCTGCCCGTGTCCCAATGGGTGGCCACTGCTGTGTCGTCGCGCCCCCGCCCCCTGCCTTCGCCCGCCGATCTCTCCCCCCCCCGCACTCGTGCTCACGGAGACCCCCCACCGACCCTCAAGACGGGGAGGAGGCGGAGGAGGAGGAGGAGGAGGAGGAGGAGGGGGGAGGGAGGAGGGTAGGAGGGGAGGCGGAGGCGGAGGCGGAGGCGGAGGCGGAGGAGGAGGAGGAGGAGGAGGAGGAGGAGGAGGCGGAGGAGGAGGAGGGGGAACAGGCGGATGATGAGGAGGAGGAGGCGGAGGAGGAGGAGGAGGAGGAGCCTCAAAGCTCCCACATCACTCATGCTGCTCTGCGCGCCAGCATGGCACGAGCACAGAGTGGAGCGCCGTCGGGCCCCGAATCCGGCCGTCGCTCGGACGTCCATTTCCCGTGCATTCTTCGGTTTCGTTCCGTGTTTATCTTGCTCGGTGGTCCAGGATGGTCCTCGGTGGTTCTCGCCGAGAAAAAAAGCACACGTCCGAGCGATGCCAAGAAATCGTCCCGAGCATGTGATACCTGCTCCTCGGCCTTTGATGCTGCGAATGCTCGCCAGAGGCCCCAAGCCCCCGACGCGCGGGATGGCAGGGCGCGGCTGGTTTGGTTTGTCCAGCGGTGCATCGCACTTTTTCCCCCAAGCTTCGAAGAGAGGCTCTCGGGAATTCACCCCTCCAACACGCCCTGATCTGGTCCCAGGGGCCGCCGCCTCAAGGACCCTCAGGGCCAGCCCAAGAGGCCAATGTCGATGCAACGTGCAGAAAGAAGGCGGCCACGGTGTTCTCGGGTCAGCATTCCATAGTTTTGCCGGGACCCCCGAGGTCCTGGGAGGCAGCAGAAGCGCTGACGGTGTTCTGATGGCGCCTCGCGTCCACAACGCACGCACGAGGGCGCGATGGATCGAAACCAGGAAACCGGTGCTCTGACCCACCCATACTCCAAAACACATACTCGTACTCTCCAACCACTCGCACCCAGGCTCACCCACCGACGGGTTCACACCGAGACGCAGTTAAATTCAGAAGCGCGCTCGCTCATGAGTACTCGGCCTCTCGTGCGTTGACCGTCTTGCCCAATCATTCCTGGGCAAATTGGTGGGACCTCTAAGGTCGACGGCTCGTTTGGGGATGTGTCTCGCGACCACCGCGAAGTGAAAGGCATCGCGCCCGGACCCCAGCATGGGGGGTCGACAAGGAGGTGTTCAACGGACCCGTTTGCTCCCAGAATGGTGGGATCTCTCGGTTCCAATGGCCATTCTGCAACAGGACCCCGAGATGAAACGCCCGACGTCTGGGCGCCAGAGGGGGCTCTCGCGAACGTCGGCCCAGGCTGCACATGTGGCAGTCGAAGGGAAGCAACTCGCCGTCGAGTGGAGAGAGAGGCCTCCACGTCCTGCTGTGCATGGACTGGGGGTCGGTTTTGGGCGCGGACGCGCTGTCTGCGCACTCATATGAAGGGAAACTGGGACACACAAGTAAATACACACAAATAAAATGATTCCCCATATTTTTCCATATTTTCTGGGTTGTTGTCTTCCCCACCACTTCCCATATTTTCCCATATATTCTGGGGAATCGAGGATTAATTGTGTCTGTGTGTTTCTTTTCCTCCTGATCATAGACGACTGAGCCTCTGCAGTGGCAGGTGGCGGACCAGGGTGAGAGGGGGTAGGGGGACGGCAGGCGGCAGGAGAGGGAGACATGTGAAAGTCGAGCAGGGATCCACTGTCCAGGCGTCCCTGCAGGCCTGCCACGAAATCCCACCAGCCCTCTGGGCGTAGGTGGTTTAGGGAGTTTCCTCTTCCATCTTCCCTTCTTCCCCTTCGGGGAGGGGTTTACCCCTCCCCCTAACCCCCTCCCCTGGACCTGGACGGGGGGTTTCGCTGGTAGCTGGAGCGTCCAAAACGGCCTCGGCGAGGAAGCCCAAATCATAGGTTTTACTAGAAGGTTTTGGCCGATTTTAGAGGCTCCCGAGGGGGGAGGCTAATTGGGGGGACCCCCTTCCTTTGATCGATCACCTCCAAGATGGCCCCAAGAGCGCTCCCAAGGCTCCCAAGAGCGCCCCAAGAGGGCCTCAAGAGGCGCCAAGGAGGCCCCAAGAGGTCCCCAAGAGGCCCTGAAGAGGCTCCCTAGACCCCCAAGAGGCGTCAAGAGGATCCCCGAAGCATCCAAGAATCCCCCAGGCGCTCCAAAAGGACCCCAAAACAATTTCCAAGGGACATCCTAGGAGGCTCTTGTGCACGTCATTGTCCCTGTTCCCTCTCATCTTTCTCCTCCTCCTCCTCCTCCTTGTCGGCCTCCTCCTCCTCCTTCTCCTCCACCTTATCAGCCTCACCCTCCTCCTTCTCCTCCTTTCCTCTTCTCTTCCTCCCCCTCCTCATCCTCCTCTTCCTCCCCCTCCTCCTCATCATCCGCCTGTTCCCCCTCCTCCCCCCTCCCTCCTCCCACTTTTCCCACCTGCTGCCCCTCCTCCCCCTCCTCCTCCTCCTCCTCCTGCTCCTCCTCCTCCTCCTCTTCCTCCTCCGACTCCTCCTCCATCCTCGCCCTCTCGGGTAAGACGGGTCCCCCAGCCCTTTGCTACTCTGTATGTTTCCTCACTTCCCTGATCACCGCAATTCGCCTGGGCATCGTTTTTGGATGGGCTGGTGGGGATATTCTTTTTGATCTGCGGCCCGCAAGGAGAAGTCCAGAAGGCGTGTCAATGTTGGTGGGGATACTTTTTTGATTTGCAGCCCGCAAGGAGAAGTCCAGAGGGCGGTATGACCGAGGTTGGGGCACAGCGCAAGATAATTGGCGCGAGAACGCGCGAAATGCACCTGCAAAATAGGAAGAGAGGCGGCCACAATTGGGCAACCACCGAACACAGGCCGGACCCGCAGGTGGGGCGGGACCGGTACCCTGCCGGAGTACTCGCAGACCCCAGCAAAAACTGCTGGGCGGATGCCAGCGGAAGAGGGGCGGCCACGGATGGGCAACCACAGAATACAGGCCGGACCCGCAGGTGGAGTACCGACCGGCAAGAATTTTCGGAGAACGAAAGACATCTTCCTGACACAAGCACAACATGTTATTCTTATACCTATACGACCACCCTGCGGGTGATAAGAAGGTTTGGGGGGGGCAGCAATGGGCAACAATGGTGATTGTTGTTCTGACGATGCCTGTGGTGCGCAGTCTAATGAGTGGTGTGATCGATGTGATTGTGATCGAAGAGCGCCCGCAATGCATGTCGGTTTGCTTTTCGATGTGCTTTTCGGTTTGCATGTAGACTTGCATTGATGAATAGCGCGCCGCAGCCACGGCGGGACACCATCGGGACACTAGCGGGACACCGGGACACCGCGGGGCACCGTTTGCCGGGTGGAGAAACTTTTGGTCCGGCCGCGGCCCGGCCACGGGAGGCTGTCGGGACACCAGCGCGACACCGGCGGGACACCGCGGGCCACCGGCCGCCAGAGGAGAAACAGTTGGTCCGGCCGCGGCCCAGCCACAAGAGGATCTCGGGATACCAGCGGGACACCGGCGGGACACCGCGGGCCACCGGCCGCCGGAGGAGAAACATCTGGTCCGGCCGCGGCCCAGCCACAAGAGGATTTCCTCTCGCCCGCCCACGCAGCTTCGCCTCGCCTGCACGCACGAACGCGAAATCGATTTCCAGGTAGGGGGGTCTCCGTTTCACGTCGGACTCACCCCCCAACCTCCGACCATAAAACCGACGTGATGAAACAAGACGGCCTCAGCCAGAAATGTTCTAAGAGCATTTCGTGCAAACCACAAGAAAAAGGTTCTAAGAACATCGTCTGGTGGGCCTATAGGCGAGCCAGGACGCTTCGCCACTGCTTGATGCCGTGGGGTCGTGTCGTGCAGACTTCGGCGGTCATTTCTGACACCGCGGGGATCCTTCAAACTTGAAAGGTCGGCTGTTTCCGAAACGTCAGATCATTCAACATCGACCGATTCTGGGTCGCCAACGGCGTTCAACGTTGAATGCCCTCGGCGATGTCGCCGCCGGTCGACACGACGCGAACCTACAATAGGCCTGTCGACGTTTCGCCCCTGCTGGGGCTCCTCAAGGCTCGACTGAACATGGCATCGGCATGCGAACATAACAAGTGCGTGAGAAACACAAGAATCGGCCCCCAACCCCCTCCCCCAACCCCCTCCCCTCTGCGAGCTCCTTCTTCGTCTCATGCTCAATAGTTGCGCCGCGCAGTCAAAACTGATTGCAAAGCTGCGCAATACGGGTGCGAACCCCTCTGTGCGCCCGTGCTGAAGCTTTGTTCGAGCGCGGCGGGCCCTCGAAAGTGGTCAAGGATAGACCGAAGAGGCAAGAATGCAAGGGTATCCTTGGGAAGGTTACCCATCCTTAGCATCGGTTTCGACTGTTTTTTTATGTGTTCTTCCTGTCTTCTGGTGAGGTCTGCTCATTGCCTCCCGTCGTGCAAGTGCCGGGGAGGTCCGTCGAGGCGCACCCGACGGGAAGCCCCTCAGGGGACCACGAGCTCCTCCAAGCTGAAACTTGACGGTCGACTGCAAGACGAACACTGGCCATCGCTCGGACGTCCATTCCCTGTGTTTTTTTTCGGTTCCGTGCGTGGTTTTTTCGCCAAATGATCGAGGATGCTCCTCGATGGTCCTCGCCGAAGGAAAAATGCACACGTCCGAGCGATGCCAAGAACATGCTCCTCAGCATCGGCTTCGACTGCATCGGGGGGAGGGCGAGGGCGGCGGAGGTGCAACGGGGCGGCGGAGGCACGGAGGCGCGGGCAGCGCGTCCTTGCCAGCACACGACTTGCACTCGCTCTGGCCCCGCTCGTCCTCGGGCCGCGCGGGGCGATGCCATCCTCCTCTGCGCGTCCTCCGCCTGCCCCCACCCTCGGGCGATGAGGCGGAAAGATAAGACGATGCCAGGACGAGGACCCAGTCGGGTGTGGGTAAATCGAGGATCTCTGAGATCCGGCGGCTCCTGAGGATGCCTCGGGTGCCACGGCCTTCTCAGAGCGTTCTGGAACGGTCTGAGAGCGTTCTGGAACGCTCTGGAGCGGATTCATCCTCGCCCTAGCCCCGTCCGACCCCCCCTGCGATGAGAAGCAGGATCGCATTAAGACACGGACGTGATGTAGACATGAAATGATACGGTGATGCTGTTTTTTCCCCAACCATCCTGTGGTGTTGGGTCCTCGTTTTGAAGAGACAGCGCCCCGCGTCTCCTCTCCTCTCCTCTCCTCTCCTCCTCCTCCTCTCCCCCCTCCTCCCATCGCCGTCATCATACTCATCGTCATCATCATCATCATCATCATCATCATCATCATCATCATCATCATCATCATCATCATCATCATCATCATCCTAATCATCATCCTCATCATCATCATCATCATCATCATCATCATCATCATCATCATCATCATCATCATCATCATCATCATCATCACCACCAGCATAAATCGTATCCAATCACGCCATCGCCATTATTGTTCCCAATCCATCCTGTTATCATCAGCACCAGCATCATTCATTCGTCATCACCACCCCCCCCCAGCATCATCATTTATCATCATCATCATTCATTCTTCATCGTCATCATCATCAATCATCATCATCCTCATCCTTTCATCATCATCCTCATCCTCATCCTCATCCCTCATCCTCATCCTCATCCTCATTCCTCATCCTCATTCCTCATCACATCCTCATCCTCATTCCTTAATCCTCACCTCATCCTCTCCTCATTCCTCATCCTCATCTCATCCTATCCCTCCATTCCCTCATTCCTTCATCCTCATCCTCATCCTCATCATCATCTCATCGTCATCATCATCATCATCATCATCATCATCATCATCATCATCATCATCATCATCATCCATCATTCATCATTCATCATTCATCATTCATCATTCATCATCATCATCATCATCATCATCATCATCATCATCATCATCATCATCATCATCATCATCATCGCCATCGCCATTAGTTCCCATTTCCGCACACCCCTCACACGTTTCGTGGCCCCATAGGGAGCTCCACCGAAGGCCCCAGTGGCAGGGTACGCTTGCCTCCCCACCACCCATTTCGGCACACCCCTCACACGTTTCGTGGCCCCATAGGGAGCTCCACCGAAGGCCCCAGTGGCAGGGTTCGCATGACTCCCCACCACCCATCTCGGCACACCCCTCACACGTTTCGTGGCCCCATAGGGAGCTCCACCGAAGGCCCCAGTGGCAGGGTTCGCATGCCGCCCCCACCTCACTTTGGCACACCCCTCACACTTTTCGTGGCCCCACAGGGAGCTCCACCGACGGCCCCAGTGGCAGGGTTCGCATGCCGCCCCCACCCCACTTTGGCACACCCCTCACGCATTTCGTGGCCCCATAGGTAGCTCCACCGACGGCCCCAGTGGCAGGGTTCGCATGCCGCCCCCACCTCACTTTGGCACACCCCTCGCGCGCTTCGTGGCCCCATAGGTAGCTCCACCGAAGGCCCCAGTGGCAGGGTTCGCATGCAGCCCCCGCCCCACTTTGGCACACCCCTCACACGTTTCGTGGCCTCATAGGGAGCTCCACCGAAGGCCCCAGTGGCAGGGTTCGCATGCCGCCCCCATCTCACTTTGGCACACCCCTCACACGTTTCGTGGCCCCATAGGGAGCTCCACCGACGGCCCCAGTGGCAGGGCTCGCATGCCGCCCCCACCCCACTTTGGCACACCCCTCACGCATTTCGTGGCCCCATAGGGTGCTCTACCGAAGGCCCCCGTGGCAGGGTTCGCATGCCGCCCCCACCCACTTTTGCACACCCCTCAGACGTTTCGTGGCCCCATTGGGAGTTCCACCGACGGCCCCAGTGGCAGGGTTCGCATGCGCCCGCGCCACCCATGTCGACACACCCTTGACACGTTTCGTGGCCCCATAATGAGCTCCACCGAAGGCCCCAGTGGCAGAGTTGGCATGCCGCCCCTCGCCCATTTCGGCCCACCCCTCACACGTTTCGTGGCCCCATAGGGAGCTCCACCGAAGGCCCCAGTGGCTGCGTTCGCATGCCTCCCCACCACCCATGTCGGCACACCCCTCACACGTTTCGTGGCCCCATAGGGAGCTCCACCGAAGGCCCCAGTGGCTGCGTTCGCATGCCTCCCCACCACCCATTTCGGCACACCCCTCACACGTTTCGTGGCCCCATAGGGAGCTCCACCGAAGGCCCCAGTGGCTGCGTTCGCATGCCTCCCCACCACCCATTTCGGCACACCCCTCACAAGTTTCGTGGCCCCATAGGGAGCTCCACCGAAGGCCCCAGTGGCAGGGTCCGCATGCCTCCCCACCACCCATTTCGGCACACCCTTCACACGTTTCGTGGCCCCATAGGGAGCTCCACCGAAGGCCCCAGTGGCGCGGTGCCTATGAGAAGAGGGGCCTAGTTTGCGTGCCCCCTCCTTCGTCTCATATCCGTGCGGTACTCGCAACTGCATATGGTTGGGTCCTTCGCCAGGCTAATTCTCTGCCGTCACCCTCGCAATTGTGCACCCCAGCGTTGTTCGATGGTCGGTGTTGGTTTTGTTCCTGTCTGTAACTCTGAATGCCCCGCTCGAGTGACCTCCACCCGTCTTCTTGACCTTCTTCCCCCCCTGCCCAAGCCCACAGCACAAGGTCGAAAGCCACCGAACAGGCAGCCGACACTACGCGCGCTCGAGGTGCAACAAAACAGAGACAGAAAGAGAAACAGAGAGAGGGAGAGGGAGGGAGGGAGAGGGAGGGAGGGAGAGGGAGCCAGATGGAGAGAGAGGGAGGGAGAGAAGAAGACAGAGAGATCGAGGGAGATGGAAAGAGGGATAGTGAGAGAGGGAGGAAGAGAAGGGTGGAGAGAGAGAGAGAGAGAAGGAGGAGGAGGAGGAGGAGGAGGAGGAGAGGAGCGAGGAGGAGGAGGAGGAGAGGAAGAAGAGCAGGAGGATTGGAAGAGGAGAAGGAGGAGGAGGCGGGAAGGAGGGAGTAGGAATTAGGATGAGGAGGCATGAGGGCAGAGAAGGAGGCAGAGAAAAGAGAATGGGTCCCCCTCCCCCTCCCCAACCATTTTCCCCCCCATTACCTCCTCCTCCTTTTTTTACGTCCCCCCTTCCTCTATCTTTCTCCCTTCCTGTCGCCCCCACCCACCAACCAAATTCAATCCATCTTTCCCCCTACCCCCCCCCCCCCCCCCCCCCCCCCCCCCTCCCCCCCCCTTTCCCACCCCCCTCGCCGCCCTTCCCCTACACTCGCCCTTATCCCCCGCTCCGCCCGCACGCCCCCGCGCCCCCCGCCTCAGCCCCTCCTCCTCACCCTCCTCATCTTCCTCCTTTCTCCTCCTCCCCCCCTCCTCTTCCCTCCTCTCCTCCTCCTTCTCTTCTTCTTCCTCCTCCTCCCCTCCTCCTCCTCCCCTCCTCCTCCCCTCCCCTTCCTTCTCTTCCTCCTCGCTCCTCCTCTACCCCCTTCCTCCTTACCTCCTCTCCTTCTCTTCTTCTTCATTCTCCTCCTCTCCTCCTTTCTACCTTCTCCTCCACCTCACCTCCTCTCCTCCTCCTCCTTCCTCCCTCTCCTCTTTCTCCCCTCCCTCCTCTCCTCCTACTCCTCCCCCCTCAGCCTACCTCCTCCTCCTTCTCCTCCTCCTCCTCCTCCTCGATCCTCCCCCTCCTCATCCTCTTCCTCCTCATCCCTCCCCCTCTTGTCACTCCGAAAGGGCCCCCGAGACAGCCAGGAGGCCCCCGGGAGACCACCGCGATGCGCCCAGATCTCCTCAGACAGAAGAGCCCCTGGGAGGCTCCCAGGATGCTCCCGCTGAGCTCCCACGAAGCCCCCAGGAGCCTGGCAAGGGGCCCCCGGGAGGCTACCAGTGGGGCCCCCGAGAGGCCCCTGGGACGCCCCCACGAGGCACCTCAGAAGCCCCAGGTCAGGTGCCAGGCGCCTGCACGGCGCATCCGCAGCAAATCTACTTTGAGCTTCGCATGCGTCCTAAAAATTACGGTGCACTGCCAGCGGGAAGGGTAGGAAGGGCATCCCAAAGGCATCAAAAAGGCCTCCTGTCCACTGCTTGGGTGCGGTGGCGGGATGGGTTGTCCGTTGCGCTGTAGGCATCAAGAGGTCCGTGCGGGGCAACATCGAAGGAAAGGAGGGACATGGCGGGAGAAGGAATAACATTATATTGCGACGATGATGAAACACAAGAGCCCGGCTAAGAGACGTGGGACGGAGAGCACGGGCGAAGATGAAGGCGATGGCCATGACGAGCCTGATGGTGGCACACACACACACACACACACACGCGCGCGGCAACACCCAGGCGTGTGAACGCTCCTCCTCCCCTCCGTCCCCCTCCCCCCTCTCCCTGGGGATCACCTCCGGCCCTGTGGACACCCCTCCCTCCCTTCGTTGCCCCCCTCATCGTACTCGCGCTGCACCCTGGCGAGGGCGCCCTTTCGGCCGACATCCCCAGGGGAAGATTAAGGAGGAGGAGGAGGAGGAGGAGGAGGAGGAGGGAGGAGGAGGGGGAGGAGGGAGGAGGGAGGAGGAGGAGGAGGAGGAGGAGGAGGAGGAGGAGGGGAGGAGGGAGGAGGGAGGATGGGAGGAGGAGAGAGGGGAGGGAGGAGGGAGGGAGGGAGGAGGGTAGGAGGGGGGGAGGAGGGAGGAGGGAGCAAGGAGGGGGAGGGAGGAGGGAGGAGGAGGGGAGGAGGAGGAGGAGGAGGAGGAGGAGGAGGAGGAGGAGGAGGAGGAGGTAGGAGGAGGAGGAGGAGGAGGGAGGAGGAGGAGGAGGAGGAGAGGAGGGAGGAGGAAGAGGAGGAGGAGGAGGACGACTGGCTCAGGGGGGCGAACCGACCTTGAATCGGCGACGCATCGCCGATGCATCGGCGATGGCCCCCCGCTACCGGACCCGCCCAGTCCTGGGCGGGGTGGGGCCATCGGGCCCCAGCCGGCGATCAAATGGCGATCGGGGGCCCATGACTCCACCCCCCCTGAGCCCACCCCTCCCTCACGATGCCTCTCAGGGCTGAACCTGAACGGTGCTTTTCGTTCTCGTTCTGTTTTCGTTCTCCCTCGTCTTGTCTTCAATCCGCCTCCACCGCAAGACGGAGCCGAAACGAAAACGGCACACGAAATCGCCAGACCACCGTTTAGGCCCAGCCCCGATGTCCCTGACGCCCCCCGTCCTGGTACTCGCCAGGAGGGCACGACTCGCATTGGTCCGCCGAGAGCGTCGAGAAGTGCCCCGGCGCGCAGTGCTCGCACCTCGGCGCCCGGATACCGGTCCGAGAGCGGCGGAGACAGGAGGAGGAGGAGGAGGAGGAGGAGGAGGAGGAGGAGGAGGAGGAGGAGGAGGAGGAGGAGGAGGAGGAGGAGGAGGAGGAGAGGAGGAGAACGAGGAGGAGGAGGAGGAGGAGGAGGAGGAGGAGCAGCGCCCTGCAGCAGGGGCAGGGGGGCGGGCACTCCGAGGGGGGAGCGCTGCACCGACGAGCCACCGCCTCGCCATCGCTCGGACGTCCCTTCCCTGTGTTTTTGTCGGTTTCGTGCGTGGTTTTTGAAGGGGCCCTGGGACACACGAATATATAAATACACACCAATATGGATATTCCCACTATTTTCGCATATTTTCTTGGTTTTTGTCTCCCCCCCCACTTTCCATATTTTCCCATATTTTCTGGGGAATCGACGATTCATTGTGTCTGTGTGTGTGTGTGTTTTTTCCCCTCCTGAGTTTTTTCGCCAAATGATCAAGGATGCCCCTCGATGGTCCTCGCCGAAGGAAAAATGCGCACGTCCGAGCGATGCCAAGGATCCTTCCCCCCCTTGGGGATCCCATCGTACCGTCGATCCCTTCGGGGGCGCGCAAACATGAATTCGCGATCCATGGATTTGGCGCGCGGTCGCCCAATCCATGGATCAAGGGAGGGGTGCCCTCCCCAACATGCGGCCGGTGCCGCCTCATCCAGCGGCGGAACTCCGCGATTTCCTGTGGAAACGGGAGCCATCGCTAATCCACGCCCATTTGATCCATGTTTGCGATTGCGAGAAACTGGGGGAGCTGTGATCCTCACCTCGCCATCGCTCGGACGTTCATTCCCTGAGCATTTTTCGATTTCGTGCGTGTGTTTTTTCGTAAGGTGACCCACAATGCTCCTCGATGGTACTCGCCGAGAAAAAATGCGCACGTCCGAGCGATGCCAAACCACCCCCCCTTGGGGAGCCCATCGTACCGTCGATCCCCCGCGAAGGAACGTCGAATCCGAACGTTCCCCCGCGGGGGCCGGCGGCTGCAGCAGGGGGCGGACAGTCCCAGGCGGGAGCACTGCGTCAGACAAGCGCGTTCCACTACTCGCAGAAGAACTGCTCGCAAACGGCCTGGATCCGCGTTTACGGTATACTGCAGCGAAGCAAACCTATGCCTTTCGGACGTTTGCGAGTAGGCACTTTGCGACGGTGAGGGGTCTCGCCGTCGCAAGAGTGCCTACTCGCTTGTACCACCGAGCGCGTGCTGTCTATCCGCAAATTTGGAGGGGGTACTCGGGGTCTCGCACCTGCTAGCCTGCCGACGCACGTGCCGAACCACGCGGAGGCAACTTGCAATTCAAACCCCGCAGTTCAACCAGGAATGGTCTCGACTCCGTCGCCGCCGATGCGGGCAGCGAATTTGAATTCTTTATGCGTCGATCCAGGAGGTTTCTCGACACCCCCAGGTAGTCGATCTGCTGTGGGAAGGGAGACCTGGTTTGTAATCATAGTGACATGTCCAGCAGTCCCTGGGTGCATCTTCCAAAGTGTGGGGGGGTAGTGGGTTCGCGGCGGGGGGTAGTGCGAGGGCAAACCCATGGAACGCCTCCTCCTCCTCCTCCTCCTCCTCCCGGCATTTCTGTTGCCAACCGTGGCCTGGACGCCCACCCCGACCACGAGGCCATCGCAGATACTCGATGCACTCAGCACGCTTTTAGATCAGAACGACGCTATCGCCTGGAGGGAGGCGGGTCTCGATGGAGAGGATGTCTTGAACCCCGCCGAACCCCCTACGGAAACGGCCTCACCCTGGGTGCTCGAGGCGACTGATAATGCCGTAGAAGAGAGCCAGGCACGACAGCGTGAAAAGTTGGGGCCCTCGTGCCGCCTGCAGCGAACGGGAAGTTGTCCAATGAGGGGCAAGGATAGGGGGGGATAGGGATAGGGGGGGATGCATCGACCTGGGATCGGCGATACATCGTCAATAGATCGGCCACAGGCCTCCGATGATGGATCCGCACCCTCCTGGGCGGGGTGGGGCTATCGGGCCCCTATCGGCGATCAATGGGCGATTGGGGGTCGATGCATCCCCCCCTATGCCTAGTTATCCCCCCCTATCGTTGCTCCCGGTCCAAATCCGCCATGGCGTCTTCATCCACGCCGGTGCGCTGCTGCTTCGGCTGCCGTTCCCGTGACATCGGATCGAACCACTCGGACGATCCGGTACCCGCCGCTGCCGCCGCCGACGAGCCTGCCCCCGGACCGTGCATCTCAACTGTAATACAGTCGGGCCGCTGAAATAAGGAACCCTAAATAATTAACGAGGCCTCTTTTTGGCCCAAAAAGCGCCTGCGTACACGAGGAGGGCTTGAGGAACAGCCATGGAAGGGCCTAAGCAACCTCGAGCCCCTTTCGAACCCAAACTGTTCCTTAGTCCAGCGACTTGACTGTATTTCTGAAGGAGACGCAGCAAAACTGGGCTTGTCGTGAAACTGAAGAGAACGATTCGCACTGAAGGGGCAGGAAACGTAAGTGGGGCAGAGTATGCCAACAGTGTTCGAGCCAACTTGTCTCCAAATAGAAAGAGAGAGGCATCTGGGGAGATAGTAGGAACACGCAACATCGACATGTGCAGGAGCGGAAGAAGAGCATGAAACATGGCACCACCACTCATACTACAATCGGACCGCTGAAATAAGAAACGGTAGATAGGGAACGAAACCCTCCTTTGTCCCCGAAAGCGCCAACGTGCACGAGAAGTGCTGGAGAAACAACCGTGGAATGACCGAACGAACATCGAGCCCCTTTCGTGCCCAGACTGCTCCTTACCTCGGCGTCTTGACTGTATCCACAAGGCGGGAACAAAAACGAGGAGGATACAGAGAACGACGGAGTAGACGAAGAGACATGATGATGAGAACTCTGGCGAGGAGGAAGAGTAGGAAAGGACGACGAGGGAAGAGGAGGATCAAATCGAAGCGGCAAAGGAGGCCGGCCGCCCTACCCGCCGCGACGCCGCAGGCCTCAGCATCAACTTCGACCAATACTTCCCCGGGCAGCACGTGCCAATGCTCTTGTCGTCGCCTCGGGCCCGTAGGCTGCCCCGCACGCGGCTGCCGCTGCTCCCCTCCCTTGACGAGCGAAAAACGAACCCCTAAGTCGTTGCGAAGGGACCTAAGTTAAGAGGGCCACGAACATTAGGGATAGAGGGTCTTTTGTGCAGATGTATCAGACCAAGACGCCCAGAAGTATTGTCCATAATGCGGAGACGGGGACGGCAGGCTCGTGTTGTGCCGTCTTCGGCGTTGGTCCTCGATACCGCGGGGATCAACCTTGAAAGATCGGCCGTTTCCGAAACGATAGATCGTTCAACATCGACCGATTCTGGGTGGCCGGTGGCATCCAACGTTGGACGCGGCGGCGGAGTCGCGGCCAGTCGACACGACGCGAATCTACCGTTGCGTGTCAGCTTTCGCCCCTGCTGGGGCTGGCCAAAACCCGAACGAACATGGCAGAGGCGTGCGATCACAAGAAGTGCTTGAGGGACACACTGTCCAGGCTCCTTCCCCTCCCCCAGCAGCTCCCTCCCCTCTGCGAGCTCCTCCTTCTTCTCATGCTCAATATTTGCACCAAAATTCCGAGGTTAGCCCAGTGCTCCGCTAATCTCCCCGCCCTGGCCAAGCCCGGCCGAGGTATCCGCTCCCATCCCTTGCGCGCTCCCTCCTGGTAAGGCAAAGGGGGAAGGACGACAGCAGCCTCGGGGTCGAACTCTGCCCTTCAGAAGTGCAGCCTTGCAACATGCTTGCGGGCGTGGACTCCAAACAATGACTTCTTGCGCCCTGGATGTGCAATACATGGGGTGCATTGTGCGTGATATCCGCCACCGTGCCCCCTGGCATGTTGGGGCGTGCTCGAATGCCAAATGCTGTCTGGTAGGGTTTCTGTAATCCTCTAAGGGCCACCCCCCTCTGCCGTTCGCACCCGTTCGCATGCTCCCTTGCAAAATGTGGTAGCTTCGCGCTCCAGAGGCCCAGGTGCCTCTAAGACGGCCCGATACCGCTCGCTTCCAGACGGTCCATGATGGCTTCAAGACGGCCCACGAGGCCTTCGAGGCGTCCCAGGAGAGCCTCACGAGCCGTCCCAAGGGGGCCCCGAGAGGCAAAAATCATTGATTCCCCGTAGGATTCTCACTGCGTTTGGGATGCTCGCCGTTTCGAACTTCTGACGCCCACAACGCCCCAAGAAGCCGCCAAGGCGGCCCCGAGCCGGCCCAAGAGGCCTCCAAGCGGGCCCTAAGACGGCCCAAGAGAGCTACAAGACAGCCCGAAGGGCGTCGAAGACGGCCCAAGAAAGCCCCAAGCCTGCCCCAAGAAGGGCCCAAGAGGGAGAATACGAACCGACAATTCGAGCCTTCCGCCCCAAGAGGCCCCCAGGAGGCCCAAGGAGGCCCCAAAACGCCCCCAAGAGGTCCCGAAACGGCCTCCGAGAGGCCCAAAAGAGGCCCCAGGACTGCCCACACGAGGTGCGCACGGGCTCCCCAACACATGACGACGAATGGTATAACATGTGACGGAAGTCCTCGTCTTCCTCCTCCTCCTCCTCCTCCTCCTCCTCCTCCTCTTTCTGCTTGTTCTCGTCATCCTTCTCAACTTCCTCCTCCTCCTCCTCCTTTTCCTCCTCGTCCTCCTCCATCTCATGATCGTCATCACCACCACCATAATAATAATCATCATCATCACAAGCATCATCAGCATCATCATCATCATCATCATCATCATCATCACCACCAACAACAATAGCATCATGATCATCATCATCATCATCATCATCATCATCATCAGCAGCAACCTCACCATCAGCATCATCATGATCCTCATCATCATCGTCATCAGCATCATCATCATCAGTATCATCAGTACCATCATCATCACCATCATCAGCATCATCATCAGCTCAACCACCACCACTACCACCACCACTATCATCATCAGCAGCAGCATAATCATCATCACCATCATCAGCATCATCATCATCATGATCGTCAGCATCAGCATCAGCAGCAGCATCATCACCATCGGCATCATCATGATCATCATCGTCACCATCAGCAGCAACATCATCATCAGTATCATAATCATCGGCTCAACCGCCACCACTACCACCACCATCACAACCAGCAGCACCATCATCATTAGCATCAGCGTCAGTATCAACATTATCATCATCAGCATCATCACCAGCATCACCATAAACATCATCAGCATCAGCATCACCACCCTCACCACCACCATCACCATCACCGTCACCATCCTCATCATCACCAACAGCCGCACCATCATCAAACACGTGACGATGATCTCAACCACCACCAACACCACCATCACCATCACCACCACCACCACCAGCACCAGCATCAGCACCAGCACCAGCATCAGCATCAACAACATCATCACCGTCAGGGCTGGCGTACGTGCGTGCAGCTTGCCGACGCGCAGGGCGCCGACGCGGCGCCAGACGGGCGCCCGCCGAGCGCCCAGGCACGGGGCACCCACGAGGGCGCCCAGACGACAGCCCAGAACACCCAGCCAGCGCTAGAGGCGCCCACGGGGTCTGCGACGACGACAACTACGAGCAAATCAAAGGACGTGGCCCATCCTTCCAGCATCGTCGAGCCCAACGGTGTCACAGGAACAAACGAAGCGACTGCGAGCTTACACGGGCATTCGCCGAGATCGGGAAGCACAGCGGTGCAATTGTCGATGACTCGAACGAGGGACAGTACAAAGGCTTCTTAAATGAGATGGTCCAAGGAACCTGCTCGACTAAGATGGTCACGCCAGCCACTGGAAGTGGATAGCAAGAAACCTGCACACTCGAACATCGAGTCGCAATGCTTACGAACTACGGCCAAATAGAAGATGAGCAAGCGGAATAGTGGAGGGTAGATAGCGCTCTGAACAGCTAAGGCGAGTGGGAATGAATAGGCCTGATTCGCGGTCTCCTGTCCACCTGGAGGATATCGAGGTTACACGAGATGGAGCTCACAGATCCCGAGGACACGAGAAAACTCACAGAAGACATGTTTCAGTGCGCCTCCAGAGAACTTCAGGAGCACTAGGCGAGGATTCTAGGAACTCCAAGGCAAACTAAGGAGGTATTCGATACGACCGACGATACGCATTCCAACATGATGGCACTGGCGGGGACACCACTATGCTTGACCGACGAACACGCCCACGCTGACACATGTATGGCTGGCGCTTGCACTCAAACCAGGAGAGATGATACACGACATCTGGGACGAGCTTCTCATCCAGAATAGCAACACACAGGTGACGTCATTGGGATGGCACCGACATCGCTTTCCAGTTGCAGGGATACGCACACGTCGACGACTCGCAAAGAAGCTGACATACCACAAGGGAGAAACACATTGAGTGACGACCCTGTGGAGAAGCCCTGGGGCGACGCCAAAGATGATCATTTCGACTGCCAATGCCACTTTACTGTGGGCAGTCTCTGGTACTCCACATGATACAGAGGATGCCAAATTTATCAACATGCAAGCAGCGCAAAGCCGGCGCAGCGAGACGAAATTGGCAGATCCGATGGCAGATACTGATGGCCAACTGATGGCCCATCGAATTCTACATGACGCGGTTCATGCGTGGAGGGTAACCAGAGGCCTCCCACATGGGGTCCGAGTGGATGGGGTCGGGGGATCGCGCAGCAGTCGTTCATCTCGAGGCCTGGAGTTGTTCCTCTCGAGTCTGGAGTTAGAGCCATGCAAGGCGTGATATTGGACGAAATGCTCTGAGTTGGTAGGGCTTCTTACTTTCTGGGCCGTGCTCAGCCCCGCCCGAGAAGAAGAGATCGAATCTCAATGCGTCTGACAACGAACGAAATAGAGCCCAATGCGACCTGCGAGGTCCGCCGTCCGGGTAGAAGCAAAGAGAGCGTCTGGGGTGCAAACCACGCCGCGACCCGACCCCAGCAAGTTCGCACGCCCTGTCAGGGTGTCCGAATTTTCGGAGGCCTGCGAGAAGCTGCCTCCCCGTGCTCGTGCGACCTAAACCGCTCACTTTCATGAGGCCCTTATATCGCCGTGACTTCTTGGGCTGTTTCGCGGCAAGCCAATTTACCAGAGACGGGCCATGGCCCACTCAACCTCCAATTCTTACCATCCGGAGTACGAGTTGCCGTATTACCGCACAGGAAGATAGCTACTTCCCTTCTCCAATGTCCTTCCTCTCCGACGACAACGACGAACTCTGCGCTACCTCCCGGTGACGCCCTTGGACCTGGTACGCGCAAACCGGGACGAGCTGCTCCCTAGACGGACTGCGACTGTGGCACTTATGGGGAATGGCCTGATAATGCCTGCGGCACACTGCAAAGCTCGACCCTGGGACATCAAAAGGCACATATATATAAATAAATGTGTATATGTATATGTATGATCGCGCTTCGCGATCCGCGAATAGCTTCGTGGCCTCACGCCGCCCACCTGGGGGAGAAAGAAAGGACGAACACGGTGAGAAGGAGGAATCGCGTATCACGGGCTGCGAATACCTTCGCACCCTCATGGCGGCCCTTGAGATCAAGCGCTGCGCACAGCTTAGTTCCTGGTGTCTGGCGACGGTAAAGAAGACATCGCGATCAACATCACGACGCACATCGATTTCGAAACGACGATGACATCGTTGAGTTCTCACCCAGAGACCCTCAACTACCCAAAATATTCTACACATGTGCCCGAAGTGGCGCTGTACACTTCCAGCTGGCCTCCGAGAAGGCCTCGGAATTGCTCCAAGGCGGCCCAAAGCCGCCCCATCATGGCCCCGAAACCATTGCAAGCAGCCACAATATTCCCGAAGGGGCGCCATTTTGGCCCCAAGGGCCCAAGAGGCCCCAATGAGGTCCCAAAGTGGCCCCCAGAGTGTCCCCAAACAGGCCCGCGTGTTCGGCCACGCGCTCGTCGAGGCCATGCCTCGACGAGCGAACGCTCACTGATTCGGAGATTTGCGCGCGTGCTTCCCCTGATGGGCCCGCCGCGTCTTCCGCTTGCGGTGCGGGCTCACCCCTTGCTGCCCTCCTTACACGCTAGTCGGAACAAGTCGGTAAAAACATGAAGTAGGAAGGCGGATCTAGTAGATTGGGCTCAGGCCCTCCCCAAATTATCCTGGCGAATGTCCCAACCATCTGCAGTTGTGGGTACCGTAATTGTGAATATCTGCCTCGGTGAAGCTCCCTATGGGGCCACGAAGCGCTGCACTGGGCGGGGGGAACGCTATAATGTGTGGGTGGTGTGCCGAATTGGGCTTCCGTGACGCATGCGGACGGTCCCTCTGAGGGCTTCGGTGGAGCTCCCTATGGGGCCACGAAGCGCTCTACTGAGTGATTGAAAATGCCAAATTGGGTTACCAGGACGCATGCGGACGGGGGCACTGGGGCCCTCGGTGGAGCTCCCTATGGGGCCACGAAACGCTGTACTGGGTGGGTGAAACGCAGGGAGGAGGGGGAGGAGGGCCACGAAACGCTGTACTGGGTGTGCGGGACGCATGCGGACGGTAGCACTGGGACCTTCGGTGGGGCTCCCTATGGGGCCACGAAACGCTGTACTGGGTGTGCGGGACGCATGCGGACGGCAGCACTGTGACCTTCGGTGGAGCTCTCTATGGGGCCACGAAACGTTGTTCTGGGTGGGTGAAACGCAGGAGGGGGAGAAGGGCCACGAAACGCGGTACTGGGTGTGCGGGGCGCATGCGGACGGCAGCACTGGGACCTTCGGTGGAGCTCCCTATGGGGCCACGAAGCGCTGTACTGGGTGTGCGGGACGCGTGCGGACGGTAGCACTGGGACCTTCGGTGGGGCTCCCTATGGGGCCACGAAACGCTGTACTGGGTGTGCGGGACGCATGCGGACGGTAGGGAGGAGGGGGAAGAGGATGAGAGGAGAACGCGGGGACCGTCTCTTCAAAACGAGGACCCAACACCACAGGGTGGTTGGGGAAAACAGCAGAACACAGCAAAATCATACCGATTGTTGAAGCAGGAAGACGCGGGAAACATGTTGGGACGTGGGGATCCGAAGGTACCTGCTTTCAACGACCGGCGAGCATTGGCAGCACCACTTTGCAGTGCTACTGTTCGCCATTCGGCTCTCCCGCTCCCGCCGACCCTCGCTCTTTCACATCCTTCTTCGGCTGGCCATTCGTCGTTCCTCCTCCTCCTCCTCCTCCTCCTCCTCCTCCTCCTCCTCTGCACGTCTGGCTTCGTGCTTTCGCCGCCCCTCCCTCCCAGCCCAGTGGGTGGCAATCCCCATTGTCCCCCTCCTCCCCCGTCACGCGTTGCCCTTGTCGTTTGTCATCCCATTGCCACCGTCTGGGGCCGTGTAAGATAGTGCCTCGCCTCCCTCCTTGTCTTCGCACCCACCATTGCCCCAGACGCCTGCTCAAAAACGCGGCAAGCCGAATCGCACACTTCCAAAAGCCCACGGGCCCACGCAAAGCATGCCGCAAGGGAGCCACAAAGACACCACCCCACCTTCGCGACTGTCATACTCGTCTCTCTCGCCGACTAGGGGCCGGCGCAGAAAAATTAGGAGGCAACTGCTGGGGATTTTCGTCGGAAGGATTGAAGAGGATTAAGCCCCATTGGGGGGCTGTTATGCCGGAGTGGGCCTCGGATTAAGCAAAGGCTGTTTAAAACCGACATCGGCTGCTGTTGGGCAGGCGACTGTGTGTCACAAAAGACAATAGAGGGCTGGAGATCCACCCCGATAATAAGCACCCCGACAACGCAACCGTTTAGCAAACGCACCCGACGAAGGAGTCCAACAAGAAAGCGCTGTTTAGTAAACGCACGGGGCCGTTTAGTAAACGCCGATTATGGGGGTCGGGGTGGATTTGTCCTCGTTGAGACAACGCCCGCGGCGACACAGACGGCGAATCCTTCGGCGGCGACCTTCTGCCTCAAATGGATAGCGTCCGCGGCAACACCGACGGCGGATCCTGCTCAGACTGGGCAGAACTGCTGTCGGTCTTTCTGCCCATTCTCTCCGCACCCAGTCCGACCGCCCCGAACCTTCAGGTTCTCGCCCTCCCTCCCTCCCTCGACCCTTCCCCCACCAGACCCCCGACGTCGTGATCTGTTCACAACGTCGACCCCCAGAGGTCTCGACCCCTTCCCCGGGACCAGCTCTTTGTCCCGAGTCGTGTTTCGACGGCCCCGAGGAAGACCCAGCAGGGGACCCCAGGAGGCCAAGCATAGCGACAAGCCTCCCGTCGTGCTCTGTTCACAGCGCGAGGGGGCTCTGGGGCCCTCCCGCTCCACCCACCCACCCCAAGCGGCAGCCACCCCGCCCCCTCCTGCCTCCTCCTCCTCCTCCTCCTCCTCCTCCTCCTCCTCCTCCTGCCTCCTCCTCCTCCTGCTCCTGCTCCTCCTCCTGCTCCTCCTGCCTCCTCCTCCTGCTCCTCCTCCTCCTCCTCCTCCTCCTCCTCCTCTGCCTCCTCTCCTCCTCCTCCTCCTCCTCCTCCTCCTCCTCCTCCTCCTCCTCCTCCTCCCGGGGGGCCGCCGCTCCCCGCCACGCCGCGGGGGCGCCCCAGAAGATGCGCAGCTCCCCCCCCGGGCGCTCGCGCGAGGGGGCCCACACCGGAGGCCCTCG